GAAACGCCTAAAGCGTCAGTCTCAAAGAGGTGAACTTTACAGACCGCTTTAACTGACTCAAAACAGAAAAGGTAAAGGAGAGGAAGCAGAATTGTATTTTCGAAAAAGCTGATAGTTTTGTGTATATATAAGTGATAGATAGTGGGTAAACACAAACAGCGCTCAAGAGCAATAATGGAGGGCAACAAACTTCTTCAAGAAGTTTGTCATTGTGTAATCAGCAAACTTCGCTGTTATCGTGGCCTTCTTGTTGATACGGGGCGCGAAATCGTTACTCGCTAGACGAGTACATTGTGCGCGAGCACGCGCTGTGCGGCACTTGCAGTGCATGGTGCTGCACTTTTTGCCTCCGCCCGACTAGCGCACCGGGTAACCACCCCACTGTCTCTGAAACAAGAGCTGCTCTCGAAATGTCTCCCGCCAACTCGTGGCTTTTGGCTGCCGTCGTTGGCCGAGGCAGCGATGCCGGCACATCGTCGTCCGCGGCACTGGCCTGAAGACTTCTTGTCAATGAATCGGGTGCTTGCAAGGACTGCGAGCCGCATAACCCTCGAATGATGAGTTAGTACAGTACAATGCAGCTAAAGCGCATTGTAAAAGCGCTTAAATGTATCCCATTGTAACCAACAAGCGTTACATCTTGACCCTCACAAATCTCCCCTGTTGGCACTGCAGGCGGGCGGGCAGAGCTATGAACAGAACGGAGCTTTGGGGTACCCTAAATTCAACCGTTCGCCCGCCGCACGAGTCACCATAAGATGCCACCAGTTACACTGTGAAGCAGCGTTGTCCAATGCGTCATAAGGAAGATGGTTGGTGAGCTGAATAAATGGGCGTGCATATTTTAGGCTCGGGTTTAACACGCTTAAAGATGTAAGCGCGGTTACCCGACATGCCTGATGTATGTAATAAAAAAATCGGGGAGGTCAAATGGTTTCCGTTCCTTATCTAAGCGAGGGTTAAAATGAAATGAATCTAGCATCACCAGCTTCAAGCCACGTCCGGACCTTCGACGGCGTAGCGGCACCCCGCCCCAATCCGTGGCACCCGCCCCGCGTCTGCCCCCGGGCGTCGAATTCCTGAGTGTCTGAACGCCGTATGACGTCATGACCAATCCGGTGCGCCATCGCCGGGCGACCCGCGCCCAGCTAGCCACTGCGCCGCTGGCGAACCCCTCCCCCCCCCCCTGATGAGCTCATGGGCGGATGAGTCACTAAGCACATTTTCCAGACTAAGTGGGCCGCTCTGTGTCGTGACTTACCTGCGTCAAATCACAGACCACAAACTGCGTGTGGGCATGAGTTCTACACCAGATTGGGAAGGAAACACTTAAAGTCAACGCTATGTGATGTTGCACATCGATGAGGTCCAACCGAACCTGTACAACTCGTCTGGTCACTGACTGGTTATGTTGCAATCTTGAGTGCAATTGTTATGGATGTAACTAATCCATAGTTGTGGGTTATTCAGCTGGGATCCCCATTCCCCCCCCCCCCCTCTCTCTCTCTCTCTCTCTCTCCAACATGTGCTTAAGACCCACAACTTTGAGAAGAAGCTGAGCGAAATCCGGGGAAAACCAGTTTGTTTGCTATTTTGGAGGTAGGTTTCATGATTTTTCACCGCTCAGGCCTCGGGCCCAACCCATTTTACAAAACTACGCCCCTGAACTGCCCGCCCTATGCAACTTTGGTATTGCTGCATGCAGCATCGTTATCCCCCAGGCTGACACCGTCCGTTCATGTTCATATAGCCGTCCACGTTGGGATCCACCTGCGCCACCCTACCGATACGGCGCAAGCCATCGCCGTTGACCGCAGCCACCTGAGAAGTCAGATGCAATTGATGCTCGGCACGCTCAATGGCATCATCATGATAATATGCACTGACTGCCGACTTCCAAGCCAACGATCTGAGCCTGTTCCATGTTCTCCTGGCCGCAAATTCCGGCAGTTCTCCACAGATAGCCTGGACATGCGTGGCACGTCCCAGGTCATTCACCGATCAGCTTGGGCGTTTGTGGACTTGCCTATCCCTAACCACATGGATACTGTTTCACGTGCAAGAATGGTCAAACGCCGTGGGCCTCAAAAGTACCTTCAAATCTATCTTCGAAAAGCGGAGTGGAGCCGAAAGCCTACACCTTAAGCATTACATAGTTCGCACGCATTTGATTCAACTATTGCACTGCCGTGTTGCTGAACGCCGCGGGGGGCACCAAGGTTTGCTCCCATGTCTGCTCATAGGTCCGCTCCCGTGTCCGCCCCCGTGTTTGTGTCGCGCATCATCTGACATGTATTGCGCCCTTGCATATATTTTCACACTACTCCTTGATGAAGAATATCACGGGCTGCGTAACCCCGGACTGTTACGCAACCCCAAACGGTTGCGTAACTCCGGACGGTTGGGTAACCCCAAACGGTTGCGTAACTCCGGACGGTTTCGCAACGCCAAACGGTTGCGTAACTCCGGACGGTTGCGTAACTCGAACTGAACCCAGCGTCGCCGCCAAACTTTTCACCCATTCCTGTGGCTCGTGTGATGTTAAGGGCTCGTCAACGAATTGTCCAGCGCCATCTTTGGTGCATTTAATTCAGCGTGGCCTCTCTTTCTAGTACGTGTACAGCCTGCATCACTCCACCGAGATAGAACTGCTCGAAATGACCGGCCAAATTGTGCTGTCTGTAAATCAATAGAGATCGCGCCAGCAGTCAAGAATGGCCTCGCTAAGTGTTGTGGCGCAGCCGCCTGTAATCTATTCTGACCGGGCGCATGGTCTGTAGTTAGTTGGAAATGTGCTACATTTTCACAGACAGCACGTTCGGGCTTGAGGCAGGGCTGAAATCGCAAACTCATCCCCGCTTCCGCTTCTCCAAGGATGGGTTCAAACGGACCCAATGTGGTTTTTGCCCCTTGCAAGGTGGTTAGAAGGACCTATATGCTTAGTGATTTTTTGCGCACTTTTAGTGTAGGTGGTGCCACATTTGGAACTTGATGCTCCGAACAGAATTTGGTTTTTCCCAAACTTCGGTCCCGAATCCCCAGTGTACGTTCCCAGTACGACAGAAGTTTATCATCGAGACAAACTAATCGGGCAGCTCCTGCTGACCAATCGCTTCAATCTCATGACGCCACCATCTGCCAGCATGCGGAGAATAACCAGGCTCTAATGACAGACATGGAAGAAGACATCCAGCAACCCATTAGCAAACACGAAGATCCTCGTACGCTACGTCACATTAGTTTTGGCTGCCTGCTGATGAGGTTAATGCCGCGAATGTTTGCGGTTCACGTGAACATGCTCGGCTCCAAAAGTGTACGCCGCAGATTTTGGGAAACTCTTATAAAGGTTAGCACCTCAGTCCTGTCTGGAAGCATACCACCGAGTAACCTAGGTCAAATAATGAACAGGCATGCACAACGTGATTCACACGACCCGATGGCGAGCGAATACACCGGAATGCTCTTAGCTCTAATCAACTGACGCAAGACTTAATCACCTGACATCCCGTGCATGTCCAGCTGGCTAGTCACCTCCAACATTCGGTACTGCGTCTCCGTATGCGCCATATGCGGACGGCTGCCGACGCTCCGCATATGGAAACTCGGAAACTTCCGCGCGCGCGCGACAGGCAGACGAGAGCATAACCGCGACCCACCGACCGGAGTCGTCTGGAGCGGCCGCACAGTACATTACGCACGGCGCTGTTTCAGCAGCGTATCATGCCGATTTACAGAGCTCCTGCCGATAACATGCCCTGGAAAACAGAGCTTTTGCAAAGTCATAAGGTCTGCATTCATAAGGTCTTTAATAAGTCGCCCAGGCAAGCTAGCATTCCTCATCAATAGCGACATTGACATAATGGTAAAATATATTGCAAGATAGCAAATGCAAATCTCATGCACTTTTTATTCATTTTCGAAAATGATCATGAATTGATTTTTTCTTCATTCTTTTCCTACTTTTCTTTCATAATTAGACTCTTTTCTATAATTCATTGTTCCCAGCCAACTTGTAATCAAAACTTCGGAGAGCATCGGGTGCACCGGTTCGTCTTGACAGCGCTAGATATGTTTGACCTCGTGCTGGCATCCAGTTTTCCCCGCGCTGCTGTAGGTCTCGAATATCTCCTCCATAAGTGACGATTTGTGTTTCAATAAGTCAGGCGGCCTGAGCCGCGGCTTATAAGCGGGCTCGGGCGCTAATTTGGCATTACATGTGACCTCATCAGTCATGTTGAGCTAGGGCCGATCGGATGAAGCTGGCACACCAGGGAAGGGGAGCGTGGCACCAGGAAGCGGGGCAGCTGATCAGTGGTGCGCGAGCCGACACCGGTCGGGATCGATGAAGCTGCACCAGGAGGGGAGGCTGCACCAGGGGGCAGCTGATCAGCTGCGGTGCCCACGAGCCGAGCACCGGTCGGGGCCGATCGGATGAAGCTGGCACCCAGGAAGGGAGCTGGCACCAGGAGCGGGTCCTGATCAGGTGCCCAAGGGGCGGACGATCGTGAAGCCACCAGAAGCGTGGCACAGCGGGTGCTGATCAGCTTGGTGCCCACGACACGATCGAAGCTGCACCAGAGGGGACTGCCATGAGCGGGGCAGCTGTAGCATACGGTCGTGCTCGTAAGCACAACCATAGCAGCGTGGCACCGCGGTACATAGCTGCGTGCCCACATTCACACGGCTGTGACTGTATCATCCGTCGTGTCTGAGCATCTGTGCCGTGGCGCTGACGTCGTGCTTTCGCTGCGCTGCTATTCTACACAGCAAGATTGGAAAACAACAGGCGGGCGGTGGGTCCGCTGTGTATCACAAAATCATTTTCAATATTGGTTGATTATTTGTCGCCAGTCATGGTTGGCATCCATCAGAAAAGTGTTGGGGAATCTCGTGTAACGTCCCAAATTATCACGGAGCCGTGGCAATTCATTCCCATGACGGACATGACGCACGGACCGATCCGTGCCAACTTAATAACAGCCAATCTGTTCATCTTGCAGGGCCTGACGGTGGCTCTGATATATTGCTTCTTCAATTCCGAGGTGAGGGCATCAATCAAGACCCACTACCGGCGTTGGAAGATGGAGAAGTCGTTTGGCAGGTCACCAGAAGACAGCCTGAGGCAAGCGCAGCCCGCCAGTACGCGTTCATTATTGTAAAACATCGGTCGTTTTTGTTCGTTTTTTTTGGCTGATATGGCTGGCTTTGAGCTCACGAATCAATTTCCGTGGCCAGATTTGTGCAACATGTTGCGCTCGAGGATGAATGCCACCCCATTTCGCTTGGCTTCCTTTTGCGACATCGTTGTTTGCTCGGCGGCGTGCGAACGCGAAGGCCTCCTCAGTAAAAGTGGTCTATATTGGGAACGATAAGGTGCTGGTTGCTAAGAATGCATGGGCTGTGTGCCGTCATTAAAGGACCCCCGCTTGAAATTCAACGGCGCTTGCTGAAAGGAATGTGCAGTACAGATCCAAGATTGTCGCCAACGATTTAAAACAGCATGCTAGCTAACCCCATGGAAAGATATCAAAGACGGGTTTAATTATTGAAATCACGCGGACCTGGCGTAACGGTGCACGCCTGCAGCTGACCCGTCAACAGAATGCTCGCTTTCATTATTGCCATACACGCATTGCCCCAATGTCTCCAAAAATGATTTGTGAAAATTAGTGCTAAATCACTGCGTTGTCCCCGAAAGTGGTTATTATAAGTCATAGTTTTTCCAAGGGGTCATTCGAAACGGCCACGTGCTGTCAAAACCTTGATGGCCAGTGGAGTAAATGGGAGGCATTGTCATCAAGTTGTTTGTTCTGGGTAATAATTTAGTGGGCCAGAACAAGACTAACTTAGGTCGCTGCAAGTATGTATTGCCTGAGTGGCTCACAGTGCCTTTAGCCGTGTAGGTGTCTGAAACGAGACAGGTGGTCAGTTGTTCAGTCCATTAGCGAGGATCATTAGTCACATCGATAAGACAGTAGGAGTAGCCTTATTCCTCGGAAAGATCAGGAGAATAGAGATACAATTAGGTTGATATGTCGGCAACATGCCTTTTTCGAAACAATAGCAGAAGATTAACTTCTGCTATTAGTGCTAAAACAACTGAAGACAGAGACAAGACATTCCTGCTATATAGAAGGCAAACTCCTGCCGTTGTTTCGAGAAAGGCATGTTTCCGAAATATCAACCTAACTATATCTCTATTCTCCCTTTTTCGAGGAATAAGGCTAATACTTCTGTCTGATCTATGAGATATGTGGTCCTCGATTTTGGGTCTTGTAGATTTTTGACACATTTCAAAGTGCACAAATAAACAGAACCAGGCCCTGAAACCTGGGCCAGCGACAATCGTGATCCACCACGTCTGGATAAGTGCAGGCGAACGATGGTATCTACAGGAACCTTTGCTTTCCATCGTCCTTTTCGAAATTTCTCGCCAGCATGGGTTCGTGTTGGAATGCTTGCGTGCATGGCCACGGGTGAAGAAACCTCATTTTGTACTGTTTATAAATCAAGACCCTGAGCATGCTAAAGGCGCACGTTGCTCACTTCTTCATTTTTTTTTTTTTTTTGGTAACAGATCGTAATATAAGCACCTGAACTTTTGACATTTTGATTTATTGTGCTGGAAATCGCCGGCCTTCACTATATAAGGGGTGCTGGTTATCAAGAGGAGTGTAGGTTCCTATTCAGTTAAGGGACTTCAGCCCTCACTCCACACCTCACCCCACATACACACACTTCGGCCCCAGGTCTCAAGTTTGCTTTGAGGGAAAAAGTGGACCAAAGCCGGGGAAAAACCCGTGCGTTGTCGCATTTCGGGGGAAATCTAAGACATTTTTTCATTGCTTAGCATTTTTTAAGCTCATTTTGCGAACCTATGTCCCTGTTGTTAACCAAGAACGGCCTGATATTTGGTAAATCTTCAGGTTAGGTTAAAATTTTTAACATGATAACACAGCACTTTGTAGTGCGCTGCGCACATGTATATTTTTTTTGTTCTCCTTGCCGTAGGTTTCAAATGTGAGAAGCTCTCTCGACGTCTGTTTCTCACACGGTAGACAGCTTTGACGCAACAATTCGACCCATAACTACCGGCCGTCACTGCGTAATTCAAATGGTCACTCTAAGGTTCAAACCATCGTGCGTGTCCGTAGCTCACACAGCTGACAATCTTCGCTGACACTGCTGAACCCTTTCCCACGGCTGTCGATGTGTTGCCAGTGCCATCGATCCCTGGCGTCTAAAACTGAGCTCTCAGGAAAAAGGTCGCGTGCTGGGCCACTAACGTGATGAGCCGGGTCGCCATTGCAGGCCGTTTCACGTGAACAGAAGGCGCAGCTCGGCCACCGAGATGACCTTCATGACCGCAGACCCGAACGGTCACGCGAGCGTCGCCTCCGGCCGGACGCACCGGCTCAGTGCGGCTAGCCAGGGACAGCCCGACACCGTCTGATCCGCCAAGAGATGCACGGAACCGGCGGTGATGCGCACTGAATCGGCGGTGATGCGCACTGAACTGTCGGTGAGACGCACTGAACCGGTGGTGAACTTCAATGAACTGTCGGTGAGACGCACTGAACCGGTGGTGAACTTCAATGAACAGATGGTGAGACGCACTGAACCGGCGGTGAGCTGCACTGAGCCGATGGTGAGACGCCCTGAACCGGCGGTGAGATGCAGTGAACCGGTGGTGAGATCCACTAAATCGGTAGTGAGATGCATTGAACCGGCGGTGAGAAGATTTGAACCGGCGGTGAGATGCACTGAACCGCCCTTTGAATGCACTGCACCGGCGGTGGGACGCTCTCAACCGGCGGTAAGATGCACTGAACCAGCGTTTAGATGCACTGAACCGTCGGTGAGACGTTCTGGACCGGTGGTAAGCTGCACTGAACCGGTGGTGACGTGCACTGAACCGGCGGTGAGACGTACTGAGTGAACGGTGTGATGTGCTAAACTGGTGGTTAGCAGCGCTACACTTGTTGGATATTAGGGACCAGTGTTGGAGACTACAGATTGGAGCAATTGGATATATACGATCGCATGGTGCGGGTACACAAACGCGCACGTCGGCAGCGTTACCCGAACTGGCCAGCAAATGATATGCATTTGACCTGGCGGGCAGACAGACCTGTCAGAACTAGTCACGTGACAGCGTCTGAACCAATGCCATGTCGATGTCGATCATGCCCTCCGGCGGCGACAGCCGAGGCCGGTAATCGTACCGTGACGCATCAGTGACGGCGACGCGTCAGTGACGATCAATAGCATCGCATGCGAACTTCTGTTGAAGAGAACTCTGGGGTCAGCCTGAGAAGCCTGCCGCCGTGTGACGACTCTCTCTCGCCTGACCTGCGGGTCGCGGCTGGCCGTCCGGCCGTGTTAGGAGGGTCGCAGGTGCGTCCCCTGAAGTGGAGCGTCCGCCACGCCGGCGGCAGCGTCGGGGACAGTGCGGAAGGGCCGGCGCGTCGGTCGCGGCTCCGGCCCTCCGGCGGTCGTCAGCAGCCCACCTCACCGGCGACGCTCGAGAGGCGTCACTGGGCGGAACGGCGACGCCCGGGACGTCAAGTGGACATCGCTCGAGCCAAGCGGGCCGCGCAGCTCCCTCGAGCGCTCTCGCTGAGGTCCGTCCTCTCGCCGGCGCCGAGGAGCGGACTCGATCGGCTGGCCGGGCTGCAGACGCACGGTCGTTGCGCTTGAGTGGAGCGCTCGTCGACGCAATTGTCTGCCGGTTGACATACTGCGCACTGTGATTGCTCCCCGGCGGCGGATACCGCGGTGGAAGGTCTCGCGCGCGCTTCGTATTCCGTGCTGGTCTGGCCGTGAAGCCCGCTCGTGCCCTCAAACCCGGCTCTGTGCTATTTGTGTGTCCGATTTGGATGTGGGCATCCAGCGCGGAACTCCGCGCATGTCACGTCTCTGCTACTGTGTCTCGCAGCCGAGCACTTTTGTCGTCTTCTGATATGCGCAGGTAGCCAAGATGTCCGCGCCAAGATGTCCGCGCGTTACGGCCAGCATTGTTTCGCCGGGATGATCCCTTTCAATCACGCCGATGCGGTTGCTGGTCTGTGTCGCGTTTCGGTTGCGTTCGTCCTCCCACCGGTCAAGCCGTGGTGAGTCTGTCCTCATCTCAGGCTGTCCTGTTTGCTCGTCACTGAGTGCTTGCGACCAAACTCCCGGCTTCCGATCTCGTCCTTAGTGGCAGCCGGTGTGCAGTGTTAGCCGTGTGTACACACTCAGTGTTCTGTTGTTGCTGTATGGCGTGGCCAGCCCGTCGCTGGGGTGCGCGTCCTCGCGACCGCCCGTAGCCCTGACCGAGGCTCACTTTCTCGTTGCGTTGAACAGCTCTGCGTCAAAACAACAAATGCAAAGCCCTATCGTCACATTCAAACATGCACTGTCTCAAAACAGGCTGAAACGTGCCAAACGCTGAATATCTCACGAGAATGTCTGTTGGCGAAGACGGTCTACAGAACAGTCTGCGCTAAAGCACTGCAAAGCAGCGCACCGTCATCTCATTTCCCCACAGGTGGAACAGCAGCGTCGGCGTTGAAGCCACCACGTTGTCAGTCGATTCAACACTCGCGGTCCAGTCCTCCACCATGAACGCGGCCAGTATGATTGTCACGGTAGAGTACGCCGCGAGGCATTTGGTTAACGAATGACCACACTCTTGCCACGTTGATTAAGCACCATTATGGTCAATGCTGTTGTCATTATTTGTTGTGCGTTACTCGCAAATGCGACATTCGTTCCAAACATGTGTTGGAAACACCGTACGTTCCGGGGTTGCTGAAACAGAACGCCACCGATGTACTCGATGCGTGGTTCATACCATTGTGTTTTATGTTTTCTGCGTCGTATCCGAAAACGTTTTTAAAGGCTTGTTGCTGTGTTTTGCTAGGTCCAGGATTTGGAAGAAGCAACAAACCTTGGACCTAGTATCACACTTGACGTTCTCGCATTTTATTACTTTCCAGGGTCGCAGAGGTGAATATAT